GCTGCCTTCGGCTCAGGTCATGATCACAGGGCCCTGGGATCGAGTCCCGCATCGGGCTCCCTGCTCGGCGGAGAGCCTGCTTCTCCCTCTCCCTCTGTCTGCTGCTCTGCCTACTTATGCTATTTCTGTTAAATAAATAAAAAATCTTAAAAAAAAAAAGATTTTTATTTATTTATTGATCAGAGAGCAAGAACAAACACAAGCAGGGGGAGAGGCAGAGGGCGAAGCAGACTCCCCGCCGAGCAGGGAGCCCGATAAGGGTACTCGATTCCAGGACCCTGTGATCATGACCTGAGCCAAAGGTAGCCACTTAACCGGCTGAGCCACCCAGGCACCCTAGCTCTTAACTTTTTTTTTTCAAGTTTATTTAAATAATCTCTATATTCAGCCTGGGCTCAGACTCATGACCCCGAGATCAAGAGCTGCATGCTCTGACGGAGCCAGCCAGGCGCCCCCTATAGTTCTTAACTTTGCTGAGTAGGCTGCCTCCGTATGGACATGCTCCAGAAACGGGTATCTCCTTGTGTGGACTGTCATTCTCCAGGGGAAACACACAGGAGATGGGTAGCTAGGTGCTAGGTGTGTGTTTCACTTCCCTTTTTTTTTTTTTTTAAAGATTTTTTTATTTGAGAGAGAGCACTTGGGGAGGGGAAGAGAGAGAGAATCTCCGGCAGACTCCCTACCGAGCTCAGAGCTTGCCTCAGGCCTGGATCTCATGACCCTGAGATCTGGACCTGAGCTGCAACCAAGAGATGCTTAACCGACTGCGTCCCCCAGGCGCCCCTCTGTATTTCACTTCTAAAGAAACTGGCAGGCTGCCCTCCAAGGTGGCTGTCTCGTGTTACCTTCCCTCTGGCAGTGGCCGGGGCTCCAGCTGCCGCGCTCTCCGTTTGGTAGTGTCCTTGTCCTCTCAGGCACTCTCCTAGGGCTCAGTGTTTCCACAGTCACTAGCGACGCCGAGCATCTTCTCTCATCAGTCTCGTATTGCAAATCTTCTTTGATAAAGAACCTGTTCACATCCTTCAGGGCATATTATTTTTAGTTGATGTAAATTATATTGTCTTATGTACTTCAGTCAGAGTGTTTAAACAAAACATTATTTTTAAGATTCACTCGTGTGGCTCTTCATCTAATCCCAGGGTTGGCAAACTGGCTGTGACCTGTTCGTAAGGCCTGTGAGCTAAGAACGTTGGCACGTTAGTAAAGGGATCGTTCAAAGCTGTGTCATTCCTTTTTTTTTTGACGTGGCCCACAAGCCCTAAAATAGGCACTGTCAGGCCCTCCACAGAAAGATGGGCAGACTCCGGGCCTGCTCCGCTGTGCCCCATGCTTGGCGTCCCTGTGCACGTCTCCTCCTCCTCCTGCCTCCAGCCCGACTACGACAAGCTGTGCCACAGCATAGAGCTTCTTACCCAGGGGTCACTGTGAAGATTTCTTTGGAATCTATGCCCAGGGGTGGAAGTGTTGGGTCATAGAACATACCTGCTTAAGTGGTGACCCTGTACGATCCACACTCTCACCTACAGTGCCTGATGGCACTTGTGTCCCCCCACCCTTCCCCCTCGGGTTTGTCCACTTTTCTGTTTTTGTGGATCAGATGGTTGGAAAGTGCTACCTTGTGTTCATTTGAGGCGGCTGTTCCTGTGTTCACTGCCTTCTCAGATTTCTGCCTTATTCATTGCCTGTGAATAGCATCTGCCTTTGGGGCGGCTGGGGGGCTCAGTTGGTGAAGCGTCTGCCTTCGGCTCAGGTCATGATCCCTGGGTCCTGGGATGGAGTCCCGCATCGGACTCCCTGCTCAGTGGGGAGCCTGCTTCTCTCTCTGCCTCTCCCCCTGCTTGTGCTCTCTCTCTCTCTGACAAATAAATCTTAAAAAGAATAGCATCTGCCTTTGTTTCTGTTGGGGTTGTTATCTTGTTGATTTGCAGGGACTATATATATTTTAGATAGTAAACACTGCTGGTTTTGAACATTACAGATTGCATCTGCCATTCTGTTACCTGTCTGTTAACTTTTTCATTTGCCCTTCACCAAACAGAAATCTTTCATTTTAATACACAGTAATAAATTTTTTGGTTTATGGTTTGTGCTTTTTTTTAAGAAGCCGTTATATGTGCCCCTCTCATTTCTCTTCACTTTGTAGTCCTTCCATTCACTAATGGGTCTTTAATGCTGTGAGATTGGAAGCCAGTTTTATTTTCCTCTGAGTCCCGGATCTGTCTCCAACCATGCATTTAGATGCAGGCCAGCTTTCTTTCTCATGGATGTGTGTGTGTGTGTGTGTGTGTGTGTGTGTGTGTGTGTGTGAGAGAGAGAGGGGGGGAGGGGGAGAGCCTGTGAGCACACGCGCGCGTGAGGGCACGCAATGTCCCAGCGGCCCACGCCAGGTTGCCCTCCTGCAAGAACTGGAAGCTTCTTCTTCAAGCATCTGTCTCCCCCCAGAAACCCAGGGAAAGCCTGCCATGAGAACATGGCTGAAGGTAGGATTCTTGGTGAAGACTTAGTGGGGTTTTTGTTTTCATTTTTGTTTGTTTGTTTTAGATTTTATTTATTTGACAGAGACACAGCGAGAGAGGAACACAAGCAGGGGGAGTAGAAGAGGGAGAAGCAGGCTTCCTGCCGAGCAGGGAGCCCGATGTGGGGCTCGATCCCAGGACCCAGGGATCGTGACCTGAGCTGAAGGCAGACGTTCAACGACTGAGCCACCCAGGGGCCCAAAGATTTTATTTATTTATTTGACAGAGACACAGCGAGAGAGGGAACACAAGCAGGGGGAGGGGAGAGGGAGAAGCAGGCTTCCCGCAGTGCAGGGAGCCTGAAATGAGGCTCGATCCCAGGACCCCGGGATCACGACCCGAGCCGAAGGCAGACGCTTAACGACTGAGCCACCCAGGCACCCCAGAACACTAGGCTTTCATGAACACAAGTGGATTCTCTGTTTATCTTGTGCTCACTTGTGAACGTCTTGAGACCAGGTCTTATGTCTTGCTTGTGTCTGTGTCCCTAACATACCCCACCTTTTGTGGCTCTCGGGAGAGACTCAGGGTCTGTAGAATGGGTAGGTCATTAGGGGGGTCTGGTTCATGGTAAACCTCATCTTGTGAGGCTTCTGTATGGGTGCGTGTGTGGGGGCCTCATTCTTTCCCCTGCCCCGTAGGATCCACTGTAGCTGGTTGGTCTCCATGCTCGTCTCTTTGAGGAACCGCCAGCCCGGCTCCCAGTGCCACGTGCCCAGCAGTGTGTCCAGAGGGCTCCTGTCTCTCTGCCCCTTTGCCAGCATTGACCGTCGCCCACGTTTCTGATGCTCGTCTCCGGGTGTGTGAGGTGTGCCGGCCTGTGGGGCCACATCACCTTTGTGGCTTCTCCCCTCCTGCGTTGTCCTCTGCGAGTGTGGGCGCTCAGGACTTTCCTCACATACACAGTCTGTGTTTCTTGTTCTCAGTGCTTTGGGGGTGATCGTTGACGGTGGAACTTGCCATCTTACTGAGCCACTGAAGACACATTTAGATAGGAGTAATTTTTTTATATATAATTTTAGTTTGCCTGAGACCTGTTTTTATCCTTAACTCTTTGTAGTAAGAGACAAGCAAAATTGTTTAAATTTTCATTTTGTGCCTTTTTGTTTTTAATGTAGGACAGAGCTTATAGCTCAGCTAAAGAAAAGGAGGAAGGTGGTGGGTGGGGCCATTCTTCTATAACAATAAAACGCCCCCCACCAGAGATGTTAAAAAATAAACGTTTACAGTTTTTGCCATGAAAAGAACATACTTCTGCATCTTTCAAGAGATGGCCTTTAGAACCCGTCAGCTGGCGCCCGGTCCTGTGTGTGGCCGACAGGGGGCGCCCAGTGTCCGAATCGAACACCTTGGAGCTTTGAGCTCGGGGCAGGGGTGCCTCTCCCCTGGTGGGTGGGACCCGACATGCACTTGGGTGTGGTGACTCCGTCAGGCCAGGAGTGACGAATCTCACATCTGAGGAATGGAAAGGAGCTCCGTCTGGGCCTCCCCGGGCTCTGGCCTGTTCCGGAGCAGCGGCGTGACAGGGCTGGGGGGTCACGCGGCAGGAGCTCTGCGCCGCCTTCTGCCCCTTCCCCAGCCCTCTGTTCTGCTGAGCGTGGCCAGGCCGCCGACGTCAGTGCTCCCAGGACCGTGGGCCGGCCTCCCCGTCCCGAAGGTGCCCCCTCAGCAGGTTTCCTAAGCAGGGGTGTTGGTGGCCTGCCGTAGGTTCTGGGTAGCGTGCACTCAAAGGCAGGTGCCCGTCTTTGGACAGCCTTCCCATCTGCTATCGTGTGGGCACACGAGGGGCCTGGGTGCCGCTGGGAGCCATCTCGGAGGCTGTGGGGAGATGCGGCCCCCAGGGGAGGGTGGGCGGCTAACAGGCCCAGGTGGGGGCATCAGTGTGAGTGGGCGTCGCGAGCCGGCAGAGGCTGTGGCAGCCCGGGGAAGCGCGATGGCCGTGGGTGGGGGCACAGAGGGAGGAGAGCCCGCAGGTTCCCGAGAGGATGGGGCCGGGCGTGGAGGCAGTTGCTGTAGAGGTGGGATGCTGTCGTGTGCCCCGCAGAAGCTACAGTGGGATGCAGAGGGGGCTCCCCTCTGTTTAATTTATTTTTTTATTAAAAAAAATTTTTTTTTAAAGATTTTATTTATTTATTTGAGAGAGAGAATGAGACAGAGAGAGAGATCATGAGAGGGGGGAGGGTCAGAGGGAGAAGCAGGCTCCCCGCCGAGCAGGGAGCCCGATGCGGGACTCGATCCCGGGACTCCGGGATCACGACCTGAGCCGAAGGCAGTCGCCCAACCAACTGAGCCACCCAGGCGCCCCTCCTCTCTGTTTAAAAACAAAGGTGCATGGACGCTGGCTTCTGCCCAACTCCGTCCTACCATCCAGAGCAAGGCGGGGCGCGTGTCAGAGTGGTGGGGGGGGTGTTCCCGGGAGGGGCGGGCAGGGGGGCGTCTCTTGGGGGCCCCCGCTCAGGACTACTGTCTCTCCTTTCTCGGCAGATGAAGGGCGCCCTGGCGGAGATTATCCAGCTGGCCACCCTGGACTCGGACCCCTGGGTTCTCATGGTAGCTGACATCCTGAAGTCCTTTCCCGACACAGGCTCGCTTAACCTTGACCTCGAAGAGCAGAATCCCAACGTTCAAGATATTTTAGGAGAACTTAGAGAAAAGGGTATTTGTGTGTGTGTTTTATGCTGGGAGGAGGGAAACAGGTCTTCCTTTAAACCTCTTTTCTGGAGTGAATTTGGCGTCTAGAGCGTGGCATTTTGTGCTGCGCGCTGTGTACCCAGCCCGCCCCTGCCGCCCCGGACGCTGCCCCCCAGCTTCTAGCTGCACAGAGGCTTTGAGAAACAAGCTTGGGACAGGCCGCTGCTCACCACGCTTGCTGTATCTGAGATTTATTACTGTTTTCGCGTTCACGTGCACTCTCTCCCTGCTCAGCTCATTGAGGCCATGGGTTCTGCCCCTTCAGGTTGCAACTTCAGAGCCTAGAACATTCCTTGGCACAGAGTAGATGCTCAGAAATGTGTCTTGAAAATATCACCGGTTCAGTTGTTTTGAAAGTGAGCTGAAAACCATTTAGGAAATATTCTCAGACGGTCAGAAAGAACACAGAGGAGGAGGCAGGCTGTTCCTCCCCAGGTGCCTCTCCTCGTTTGGAGAACTGGATCTGGCGTGCCCCTTAGAGACGGAACACGTGCTGCTGCTGGCCGAGTGGCTGGACCATCATCCCCTGCAGGTGGCCCCTGACACAGCCCTTTCTCCCCTACGAGGTGACCACCCCGTCACACTATCAGTTTTCACTTGATCTCTAATGGCCCACACACTCCACGGATGCTGCGGGAGCACCGGGAAGTAGACCCAAGATGTCTCTGTCCTGGTGCTTAGCTTGACAAGGGTCCACGTGAGGTCCATGCCCACCTGGGTGACATCTCTTGGGTGGGAAGGGCCTGCTCTGTCTTCAGCTGCAGGTGGGCTCCTTGGCCCCTGGGGGGCCTGGTCCTAGAGGGGCTGGCATGGGGGAGGGGTGCATAGGAAGAGTGGGGGCTGGCTTTGAGCTCCTTCCCCCAGGGTTTCTCCTGAGCTTGGACTCCTGGGTGAACACCCAGAGCCAGATAGCTGCCTAGGTGCTGCTTCTGAGGGCCAGGATGCAGCAGGGGCCGGGAGCGACCACAGGCTGTGACCACCACAGACTTTCCCTTCCTACTGCTGGGGGCGTGTCTCAGCATTTCTGATGCCCTTGGGATGCTTCCAGCACCTTCCAAAAATGGTTCTATTGACGTTCGTCTGGGGTGCCAGGCTGAGCGCAGGCAAACCCAGGATGTAGCGGCTGGGCCACCCATCTGACCAGCAGCCGCGCTGGCGGCCTTGACTGTTGGGTGATGGTGGAGAGGAGCCTCTGGGGAGGCCATGCACTTGTTTTCTGTGTTGAAAACAAAGCGGAAGATCCAGGACCATAAATAGGAGACTGCATTTTGGTTCGCATTTTCACATGAGCTGTGCTAGCTGTGGCCGGGTGAGGGGGACGCAGCTCCTAACGTGTTGTGTTGGTTCTCGAATGAGCAGTGAACGAGTGTGAAGCGTCTGCCATGCTGCCCCTGGAGTGCCAGTACTTGAATAAAAACGCCCTGACGACCCTCGCCGGACCCCTCACTCCCCCAGTGAAACATTTTCAGTTAAAAAGGAAACCGAAGAGCGCTACGCTGAGGGCAGAGCTCCTGCAGAAATGTGAGTGCCCCCCCACCCCGCCCCGGAGGCCCAGCAGCGCTAGGGACTCCACAGCTCAGATCACGCTTCTGTCTTCCTCTGTGGTGTTTATTTCTAGAGTTCCTTTAGATTTTAAGAAACTTTGTTCCAGACAGTGGCTACATAAAGTTTTGGGTTGTTTTTTTTTTTTTTTTAGAAATGTATTACTGCTATGCTAAACTGTGTTCTGAAGTCTGCTTTAGAACAGAATTTTTAGGTTAAAGTGTCTGTAATCTTTGTTACAAAAATGAAATCTGCAAACCGAGTCACGTGGGCAGGGAGAAAGGTGGCCTCGTGAGGGCTTTTTGAAAGGCTGGGCCTTCACTCTTGTAATTTTGTGTTTTTCTGGAGTTGCAGATGATGTCCCTTTGACCTTAAAGATGTTTGGCCATTTTATTTAATGTTTTCTCAAATAGTGGTGTTATCAAATGCATGTGGAAGGTATTTGCCAGATAAAAAGGCAAGGAAATGGAGTCCTTCAACCAAATGGCAAAACTCAGATTTCAGTTAGCTTTTATTTTGAATGGCCATGGACTTGGTATGAACCATATACATAAATGCCCTGATTGCCAAGAACCTGGTGTCCTGGGTCCAGGGCTGCTCTGTGGCTTTACGGAGCCCGCAGGACGGGGCGCAGGCTCAGGCCCTGGTGCCCCCCCGCCCCACCGCCGCCTTGCGGTTCACCTTCCCCTTCTCCTGTCCCCACTGAGCCATCTCAGGAAATTCTCGTCTCCTTCCTCGTATTTATGCATCTGTGAGGAGAAACAGCATACCTTGCCCAGTGACCGCCGGCGAGACAGAAAGCCCCTTTTGGGGCGTCTGGAGTGCGGTTCTTTCTGCCCCCTGGCTCTGCTTCCTTGAGAGTAGGGTTTGCTAAGCAGAAAACAGGACGTTGGAAGCGGGGCTGGGCTTCTCAGGAACGCGTGATGCTTATTTAGGAAAAGAGGGCTCTGAGTCTGTACCAGCGCGTGCAGATCTGGCTTCTTCGGGAGCAGATTCAGTGAGGCGTCGCGCCCCTGCGGTGACGGGCGCGGGGCTCACCTGACGCAACCCTCTTACAGCCACCGAGACGGCCCAGCAGCTGAAGAGGAGTGCGGGGGTGCCCTTCCACGCCAAGGGCCGGGGGCTGCTCCGGAAGATGGACACCACAAGTAAGGCGCGCTCCCGGGCAGGCCCAGGTCTGAGCTGTCCCTGGCTTGTCGGAGCCTGGGGCTCGGCCTCAGAGTCCGGGTCCGTCCTTGTTAGCAGCGTCGTTTTTAAGTGTTGAGATCTGCGCGGGCCACAGGCCCCGAAGGCGCCCTGTGTGCTGGTGAAGGGAACACGTGAAATGAGGAGAGAGCTCAGGGTTGAGTTCAGGTTTTCCACTTGCAGAAGGACCTGGCAGTTCATGTGTGAACACGCTAAGAGGAGCCTGACCAGAATTTGAGGGAAACGCTGGTTCCCCCCGCCGAGTAGCGAGCACAGGCGGGTGTGGGTCGGTGTGGGTCGGTGTGGGTCGCTGCCAGACCTGCTCTGTGGGGGGAGGGAGGGGGCGCCCCCTGCAGATGGAGGTGGTGGCCCCAGGTTGTGTTGTCAGGCCGCACCTCCCGCCTCCCTCAGGGTTGGAAACAGCCCTGCACACAAACAGAACGGATGCTGTGACGAGAAAGCCCGGTTGCCCTGGGGCTTGTCCCCAGAAGGCACTGGACAGAAAACCCAGAGGGCAAGAGGGCAGAACGGCCATTCTCCCGCGTCCCAGGGCCCAGGGCCGACCGAACAGCAGGGAAGCTGGGTCACCTGAGATGCACGCACCTGTTGGAGCCCAGGGGGAAGCCTTGGCGGGGGAGGTCCCGTTCTGTAGGGCCTGCCCCAGCGAGGTCCTGAGGGCAGTGGCCTGGTCACTGTGCCCTTGACACAGCGTCCAGTTCAAGGTCCAGCGTGCTTCCCTGGTCCTGCTGGCGGCGCCCGCGTCACAGTGTGAGATGGGAGTGTGGGTCTGTGTTCGAGCGCTGAGATGGGGGCCTGGAGGCGGCGGGGGGGGAGGGCGCCAGATGCCCGGGGACGGGGACGGGCCCTGTTCGGGAGGCACCATCCCTGTGTGCCAGGCGAGTCCGTTTCGACAGACTGGGGACCAGACTCGGTGGCGGGGGGCGGATTCTGTCTGCAGGGCGTTTGGGCATCTAGCCGTGGACAGACCTGATCACCGGGAGGTGCGAGAAGGAAGCCAGGCTGAGTCCCGGGGTGGTGGGTGGGTGTGGGTGTGGCAGCTTTGTTTTTTGGTGTTTTTGGCAAAAATGTCATAGATTGGCTGTGATGTCATCACTCCCTATGGCCTCGCTCTTTGACTTGATGCCTGAGTGCTGGGCTCCCTGGAGAGGTGGCCCCTCACCCCCTAAGGCCCGGGGTCACTGGTGCCCTGGTGACGTCACCTGCAGCACCTCAGAGACCCAGCCAGTCCATGGGAATCGGGGTCACGCCTGCTGAGCATCTGACGGGCTCGTGGGGGGCGGGCGGGGGGCACTGGGCCTCGCTCCCGTCCAGGGGGCTGGCGGAGCGGCCTCTGCTTCTTGTGGAACAGCGTGGAAGTGGCAGGGGACAAGGCACTCCCTCGAGTCCTGCTGTGCGGGGCAGCCCCGTCCCAGGCGGCCACCGACGGGCGCTGTCCTCTCCGCAGCCCCGCTCAAAGGCATCCCGAAGCAGGCGCCCTTCCGAAGCCCCACCGCCCCCAGTGTCTTCAGCCCTGCCGGGAACCGGACCCCCATCCCGCCTTCGAGGACGCCGCTGCGGAAGGAGAGGGGAGTGAAGGTGGGCACTTCCCCGCTGGCGTCCGCGGCCTCGGCAGCGCGGCCCGGCGCCCCTCCCACGGCGGTCACGGGCGGGCTTCTGTCTGTTTCGGCAGCTGCTCGACATCTCTGAGCTGGATATGGTGGGCGCCGGCCGGGAGGCAAAGAGGAGGAGGAAGACGCTGGGTATGTACGCGGGGCTCCCGGCAGGGTCGTGCGGGTCGGGCCTGCGCCCCCGACCGCTCCCTCTTCCGTTTCTCGCGCCACTGGCGACCTTTGTGTCGTGACAAGATGGTCCTTAACGGGGGAGCCGCGATCACACGTGGCAGACCTTTGCCGAAAGCAGCTCACCGCGCGCTCTGCCCGGAGACTGGCTTTGAAGCGCGCACTCGCTGCGCGGCTGGCGGGGCCCCTCCTGCACCCCGGGGACCCGCACGTGGGCTGCTGCGCTGGTCGGGGCACCGGCGAGGACTCTGCTTTGTCGGCAGATGCGGAAGTGGTGGAAAAGCCGGCCAAGGAGGAGACCGTTGTGGAGAACGCCACCCCGGATTACGCGGCTGGCCTGGTGTCCACGCAGGTGGGGCTGCGACCCCGATGGCCCGTCTGCCCCCCGGCCCCTCACGCGCCGTCGTGCACGCTCCCTCTCGTCTCGTCCCGGGGTTAGCCACACAACGTGCCCTGTGGGTGGCAGCGCCGGCCGGAGGCCCTGACGGGGGGCATCGCGTGGGCTCTCTGGGGGGCTCCTTGGCGAGTCTCCTCACTGCTGTGCCTCGGTTTCCCCCCTTTCCGGTGGAGGTGGCAGTGCTGGCCTTGCAGGAGGGAGGGAGGGAGGGAGGGCGCGCGCTGGCCGTCGGCCCCGTCGGCCCCTTGTGTGGGGCGTGAGGCCTGCCCGTCACTGGGGAGGTCGGCGGCCACACGGCCTGCTGCTTGGGAGTCTGGTCCCCGCAGACCGTGCACGCGCAGCGCGTGGGTTCAGGGCCACGGGCTAGGGCTGGAGGAAGGCCCCGGGGCCGCGGTTGTTTCTGGGTAGTGGCTTAGTTTCCTCCTGTTGCGGGGCTGTTCCCTCATTTCCTGCAACGAGGGAGTCTTCCCGTCGTCGCTTGCTTTGTGGTAAGAGGAGACCTCGAACAACCTCCTCCTCTCCTGAGCGGCGGCTGGTTTGGGAAGCTCCCGAGGCAGAAGGGGGCAGCCCCGCCCCGAGGAGAGCGGAGCCCGCTGTCCTGCCTCAGGCTTGGGGACGGAGGTTTACGCCGGAGCCAGCCCTGGCCCCCCCCCCCCGCCTCCAGGAGGGACTGTAAACTCTTGTGTTCCAGAAACTCGGGTCCTTGAACAGCGAGCCGGCACTGCCCTCCACGAGCTACCTGCCTGCCACACCCAGCGCGGTCCCAGCCTCGTCCTACGTCCCCAGCTCCGAGAGCCCGGCAGGTGAGCTCCCTGCCCACCCGCTGGGGATGGGACGGAGTGGCATCTGCCTCGGACTCGCTGCCACGGGGCTGCCGTGTCCTCCTTCCCGAGCCGTCGCTGGTGCTGAGTTTCCAGGAGCGAACCCAGAGTTTTCAGCGGCTCTGCCTTTTCTGGGGGCAAACAGGCAGCGGCCCCTTTGCATAGTGCGGCGGGAGCACGTGCTGCTGGGGGCGGGGGGTGGCCTGGCTGACTGTGCCTCGGGGCTCAGGGGTCCCCTCACGGTCCCGGCCTCTCTGAAGAAGAGGAGGAGGACCCAGGGTAATGGCCTCGCCTCTGGGGCTCTCACTCCACTGGGCTTGGCTTTGCCCACCAGGAGCTTGGTCCCGGGAGCGCAAGTGGCCAGAGAAGGGCCGCGGGGGCCAGCGGCCTCATCAGGCTGGAGGCAGCGGCCTTCCTGTCTTACCAGGGCCGCGGGTGGGGGCGAGGGCGCCGGGCCTCGCACCTCATCTGCGGGCCTGGGGAAGCCGGAGACCTTTGGCTCCAAGGTGGGGGTCTCTGTCCCCCGCCGTGGGGACCCGGAGCTGAGGTCTCAGGGTGAGCAGGGTCGAGTGGTCGGGGCCTGGGAGGTGGGGCAGAGCCTGCCCAACTTTTCCGGAGCGGGGGGGTGGGGGCAGGGGCGGGGGTCCCCGGGCCCGGCCGGCCCCCTCACCAGATCTTGCTCTGCTTACAGCACCGTCTTCTCGGGAAGCCGGCCTGCAGGCCAGCCGGCCGCCCGAGGAGCCCAGTGCCCCCAGCCCCGCGCTGCCGGCGCAGTTCAAGCAGAGGGCCCCCATGTACAACAGTGGCCCGAGCCCGGCCGCATCTGCGCCTTCGACACCCACCTCCCCGCTGACGCCCACCACACCTCCAGCCGTCACCCCAGCCGCCCAGACACCTCCGGTGGCCATGGTCACCCCACAGACCCAGCCCCCTGCTCAGCAACAGCCCAAGAAGAACCTGTCGCTCACGGTAGGTGTGCCTTAGGTGACAGGCGACAGCCACCAGGAAGGGCATGTGGCCTCAGCCACCCACACCTGCAGAGTGCCGGGCAGGGGCCTCCAGGTGGACACGGGCGGGGCTGCTGGCTGGGCCTGGGTACCCACACCCCCTCTCCCCATGCTTGCAGAGAGAGCAGATGTTCGCTGCGCAGGAGATGTTCAAGACGGCCAACAAAGTCACGCGGCCCGAGAAGGCCCTCATCCTGGGCTTCATGGCCGGCTCCCGAGGTGGGTGTGCACGGCTGGCCCCGAGGGGGTGGGTGGGGGGATGAGGGCCCCCCCGCAGGGTGGGGGAAGGGGCTCCCCGCCACCCCCCCGCGCCCCGCCCAGCAGCCCCTGCCCTCCGCAGAGAACCCATGCCAGGAGCAGGGCGACGTGATCCAGATCAAGCTGAGCGAGCACACGGAGGACCTGCCCAAGTCGGATGGCCAGGGCAGCACCACCATGCTGGTGGACACCGTGTTCGAGATGAACTATGCCACAGGCCAGTGGACGCGCTTCAAGAAGTACAAGCCCATGGCCAACGTGTCCTAGGGGCCCCCCGCCCCCGCCCGCCTTCTCTGCGGGGCTGAGGGACGACCTGTGACCGGCCCGCAACTGCTGCCGAGCCCCAGCCCGCGGAAGCTTTTAGGTTCATTTCTCGGGGGTGTTCTGGACTTACTTTTTAAATTTTAATATGGGTTACCTTTTGTGTGATTTCAGATACTTTTTTGGATTCAATATTGCATTTTTGAATGTTAAAGTTAACCAAAAAAGTTATAACTTCCTAATTTTAGCGACAGCTCTGCCTGTTAGACTTTTATCTTTTTTTTATTTTTTTCTTAAATTCCACTGACCGTGAGGGAGGGCTCTTCCTTGGTAGCGCGCCGCTCTTCCCGTCCCACGAGGTTGAGGGGACCAAAGTGAGGCCCAGCACAGTTGAGAACGGGGTGGGGACGGCCTGCCACGTGCCCCGGAGCGGGAGACGCCGGGCCGCACACGCCACGCGCAGGTTTTGTATTTGTCTTTTGTACGGTTGTGAGCATTGAGACCAGTCTTCTGGTGCCTGTTTTCATTGTACAAACGATCCGAGTAATTAAAGTATAGCTTTTCTAAAGAAAGCCCCGGAGCTGTGTTTCGGGCCAGCCTGGCCGCTCTGCTCCAGGGCCGCAGGCCCTCTCGGGGTGGGGGGCGGGTGGGGGCCGCAGGACGGTCACCCCCCTCTGACAACGGCCAGAGGCTCTTTATCGGAGAAGACAGAGGACCTGGAGCTGAGCGAGCGCCAGCTGAGAAGAGTCGGCAGCTCCTCTCCTGACCGGTTTCTCCTTTAATGGGGATTTTTGGTAATCAAATTATTTACCCCAAGAAGGGGGTGGGCATTTTTCCAGAAGGAATGCCCCACTTACTGTGTCTGGTATTGGCTGAACCTCCCGAGGCCCCGTCAGCCTCTCCCTGGCAAGTCGCGAGCGGGACGGCAGTCGGGGGACGGGGGCATGTCAGGGCTGTGCCAGGTGCCAAAGGAACTGGAAAAGTGGGAAGAAGTCCCAAACTTCAAAATGCAATCCCATATAAAATAAGTTTAAGGAAAAAAAAAAAGCCTTTAAAAAAATTTTAATACAAAAATACTCATACACAGTTTTTCAAACACAATGTCCCACTTTAAATGCTATTTTCCCCTGACTGGAAGTTCTCACGTCTACAGTTCAGTCTGTTACCCCCCAGAAGGAACTTCAAGTTTTTAAGTCTATCCGGACTGGTGAGAGCACCGAGTGTTCCTAAAAGGAGCCTGACCTCATCCTATAGGAAGCTCCGACGCCGACAGACCATTTCAGTTCGTATTTAATTTCGGACAGGGCGTTTCACATCTCAACAGGGTACGGCGGACACCACGACGCCCGTGAGCAATTCACTCTAGTGACTAACAAACACCCAATGCCATGCTGCTCGGAGGATCGAGAATTGGGCAACAGTCATTTGTGTTAATTTTCATCAAAACAGGCTTATCTGTAGTTCTGGAAGGTGGGCACTAGACACCCTGTGGTTTGTGTGGTCAGGGTCACAACTTGAGAGGCATCCGAAGCGCGGGCCTGAGCGTGTGGGAGGCCCGGGAGGCGGGGTGTCGTGCGCGGCTCCTCGCATGACGGGGCAAACGGTGTCTCCCCCGCGCGCCGTGGGCGCCATGCTCGACTCCCCTAGTGGTCCCATGTCATGAATGCCGGGGTGGACACGTTCCCGGGCCCGACACCCGGAGACCGGTGCTGGCGCGGGCAGGCGCGACCTTGCTGGGGCCACGGTGCCGGCCATTCCCGATGCTGAGGAATCCGGAGATGGGGCAATTTTCGCTTTGTTTCTGCTTCATGTTCATGACAAAGGACTGAAGCTGATGTTCAGAAAGACCGACTCCCCCTACACGAGCTCTCCCTCTGACTCGGAGCGAAGCGCGTTGGCCGCCGTGGGAGAGCCCTTGGGCTCAGCCGCCACGCTGCAGCCTGGTTGTACTCAGATTTATAAACCGGTTTTCTAGAGGTTTTTCAAAGTTAGTGTTATTTGCTCATTAGTTCAACAGTTTTTGGAAAGAGGATAACCATATTTAAAATAATTTTTCCAGTATTTCCTTCAGAAAGGTCGTAGAATTTGAAAATATCAAAGTGACTCAAGAAATCACAAGATTTTTACTACGTCAAATACAAAAATAAGTTAATCTGCTCCCCAAAGTGCACTGCAAGCCCAGTCTGATGGTCTGACTTCTGCAGAAGTCCCTTCGCTGGTGGGAAAGGACAAGCGAGGCGCGTGGCCCGCACCCCAGGCCCCGAGCCTCGGAAGAGCGGACTCCTGCAGGGCCCCCACGGCCTCGGGCCCTGGCCCAGAGCGCCGCCGGACCCGTTGCTGGAACAACCTTCCAAGTTGTTCGGGGAATAAGGAGCATAAATCTATACAACAATCCAGTATTTTCTTAGGACGATTTGAGAGTAATTAAGAATTCTAAACTGAGCCCCCCCCCCCCCACCCAGTCCCCGTGTCTTACCAAAGCAAGTGCATTTCCGGAGGTCACCTGAGCCACATGCAGGAGTCAACTGATGACCAAGGTCCCGTATCTCCTGGGTCGCCGTGTATGGCTCCTTTCTCCAGGACGGCGGTAGGAGAGGCACCAAAGGGACCGCCACAGTCGGTAAAACTCTGCTCTTAGTGCTGGGGGAGGCGCGGGCCTGCAGACACCAGGGAGCCTCACACCAGGAGCAGATTCTTCCCTGTGGTCAGAACCTGGCAGAGACCACCGCCCCCAAGAGCTCACGTCACAGAACCACGGAGAAGCTGTGACCAGGGCTCTGGGTCCAAGGACATCCTGCAATTGTGCAAGGAGCAGGAGACCTCAGGAGCAGTTTTCAAGAAGGGCTGTGTATACGTCTCTGCAGGATACATGTCCTCCTTAGGTTATCTTAAGAAGAAAGAGCAGAAGACAGCATCTGCCGCTGAGTATCCCCTTCCCTCCCATTGCAAGCACGGAGACTGCAGGCCCCACGGAGGGCACGCGGGTGGTCTGACAGGACCCCTGCCCTCGGGGCGCTCCGGACTCCCCACAGTCAAGAGGAACTTCGAGAGAGAGACGACAACTTCATATTCCCAGCAGCTTCTCACTTTGTGGGGCTGGGCCTTCTAATAAGGGAAAGTTAGTGGCCATCTCCCGGGGAAACCCAGGCCGGGCGCCCGCCCGCTGCTGCGCCCACGGCACAGGCCCGGAGCCCCGGCGCGAGCGCTCCTCCGTGGCGTCCCGGCTGAGCACGTTTTCCACGAACAGACCCACACGTGTGACTCAGTGGCAGTAACTAGATGGGACCGCTCTAAACTCCGGGTCTCTCCTCAGACCCTGAGGGAACCTTTTTTGGACATGCACGTCCCCCACGTGCTCTGGGTCCCCAGGGCGGCAAGCACCTGCCCTGCACCCAGCCGTCACCACAGGGCACAACGCAGCTTCTACAGAGCCACTGTCACGAACTCCTCTCTTGACACAAACTCACTACCGAGTTCCGCTCCTTTCGCTGGGACGACTCGGGGCCGCATCAGTAAATACACATTTCAGTCGGTGGTAATTTGTGAAACAAGTTTAGCAAAAATATATTGAGAATAAAAGCCAGAAACTGGTAGAGAAAAGCCAAACGAAACAAATACACACAGTCTTCCCCCAGATGTTGGCAAGAACCGAGTGCGTTCAGGAGGCAGGCAGGTGAGAAGCGCCAGCCCCAGCCCGCCCGGGAGGGGCTGGGCCGCGCAGACCCCACACTGGGAGGCCGACGCCGCGGCGCCACTCGGTCCAGATCCACGTCAGCACGAGCCACGGGGGCACCTCACGACAACGCTACCTCTACCACTGCTCCCGGGGCCGGCTTCTCACTAGGATGGAAAAGAAGCGTTTTGAGGAAAAATTTCACATTAGTACGACAAAAATCATACGGCTGTTTCGTGAGAGCAAAATAATGATCAAAATCATGGTTTCCAGGGAATCCAGGGTCTGAGTCCTTGCCCAGGCCCCACCCTGGTCTCTCCTGAGTGATGAAGACCGGTAAGCAGGCCAAGTAACATTGTTAAGATTAAAGAGATAATAGTGATCCTTTAGAAAAATACTACTCTCTACGTTTCGGGTGAGATAGAAACATTTCATATGCCAATTACTTTTCAATTATAACTTTAACCTACAAAAATAGAGTGGGAGGGGACCTTGACATTCTCAGAAATTCAAGTGTAGCTGTAATGCTGTGTACTAAGGCTTGTGTGTCCGGGAACCTTCTGAACCTCGCGGCCCAGACGGGTCGTCAGTGCAGACGCAGCGGGCGCTGCTGAGGATGGCTCAGTGGTGGACAGGCGCTCCCCCCCCAGGAGGCCTACACGGCTGGGTCCTCCGGGCCAGTCCCCCGCGTGGCCCTCTACCCTTGGATCTGGCCAAGCCGCTGCCTGGCGCTATTTGCCTTCCATGACTCTCCGCCAGCACCTTCTTCTCTTCCTCTTCCCCTTGGACTTGGTGGGCTCCAGAAAGGGTTTCTCAGTCTTGGCGCTTCGAGCCGACTCTGCCCCCAAGTCGTGCTCGCAGCAGTAGGACCGCCCGTCCTGGGTGGAGCTGAAGGCTGTCCCGTCCTGGTGTTCCTTGCAAAACGAATTGGGGCAAAAGTGGCAAAACAAAGTGGAAGGTCTGCCACACACGTCACAATGATGCCAAGGACATTCCCACTTCCCTGCAATGAAACATGACAAATTAGCAGAAGTGACAGAACCGAACAACTTCTAATCTCTTCATGGTTGAAAACCAATTTTAAAACCATCCAGTGAGACAGACACAGATTAAGACAAGACACTGCTTCCTGCTGAGCTGTGAAAACGTGAAGGGAAGCGAAGGCGGGCAGGCCCGGCGGAGGGCACGCGCCCCGCTGACACGCCGACTTCTCTCCTGTGACCCCACCGTGGCCTGGACCCGCGGTCTTCCTGACGTCAGTGTGCACGGGGCACCATCACACCTCCTGCAGATAGCTTTCCCATTTGCCTATGAAATCGTGCTCTGTCATAATTGCTTTTTTTTTTACACTCAGACGTGTCGGACTTTTCCTTTTATAGCTTTTCAGTTTCTCTGGCTAAAGGCCTGTTTTTCTCCTGAGACCCCAGTGGACATTTTCACAGTGGCGCCTACAATCTGTCCGAAACGAGGTTGAAAGCGCAAGGTAGAGCCCACTGCTTGTCCCCTCCTGGCCTGTCCCCTCCTCCCATGCCATCAGCTCTGGTGTGGCCTCCGCTCGGGGCAGCCTCAGAGGTTCCACGACCGTTCGCGCCGCAGACGCTGACTCCGTGTGCAGACCTCCCCAGGCTGGGCCTCACTACCTGAGTCACCAGCGAATCTGTGACCGGGAGAGGAGAGCCATCGACAGGGACCCCCAAAGGCTGCCAGGGGGCCCGCTCACCCACCGAAGGGCCGCTTGCCCAGGCCCAGGCACGACAGGTGGTAGGCCTTGGTACAGGACTTGCGGTCACACAGCACCAGCTGGCCGCCATCCCCACAGCGGAAACACTCGTCCTCGGACTCCTTCTTCCCTTCACCTCTGGTTCTCCGCCTCCTGGTTCTTTTCTTGGTCTTTTTGCCCTTTTCCTCTGAAGAAAGGGATGTTGAGGTCTAGAAGAAAAAAGTGCAGTTCACTTGAAAGAATCTCACGGACGGAAGCAATAAGAAACTACGAAGAGCCAGAGTTGGGGTGCAGGGGCTTCAGAGGCCCATGGAGACGCTCTTACACTGAAAGGACAGAAGACGGGGACAGGACACATGCCCAGGGAGGGCCATCCATCTCGCTAAATGGAAGAGAGTTGAGCACAGAAAGTAAGACCGGCTTTGCCGAAAGTCTCCCGCAGCGGCACCTCATAGTGGCCCCCAAATCTGCTGACGGGACGCTCGGGCCACAGAGTGGCTCCTGCCGGGCCGCGGTGCATCCTTGGCTCTTTCTAGTAAGAATTTCATTGTGAATGAGAGAGATCATTCTCCGGTTGAAGCAGCAGACACCAACGTGGACACCCAACTCAGGGCGGATGCCTGGGATCTGCCAGTGTTTTAGGGCCCAGGTTATGTGGCACAAGGAGGCAGGTAATCGTGCCCAAATTTGGCACCTTCCCAGCATCTCAGAATTGGACCTTACCTGTAACTAAGGATGAGGTCACACTGGGGTAGGGGGCCCTTAACCCCGTATGACCAGGGTCCTTAAAGGAAGAGGAAGAGACCCAGAACAGGGAGCAGGCCCCGTGAAGATCACGGCAGAGACGAGGAAAGCGTCTACGAGCCCGAGGAACGCCAAAGGTTGCCGGAAACCACCAGAAGCTGGGAGAGCACTGGGAGGGAGAGCAGCCCTGACTACACCCTGATTGCGGGTTTCTGGCCTCGAGAAGTTCTGTTGTTCACGCCTCAGCCTGTGGCACTTTGCGACAGGGAGCCCTCACCTCCCTGCGGCCATCCTCACCCACACCCTGCAGAAGACCCCCTCCCGCCTGTCACAGCTACAAGTCAGCTCAGAAGAAGCCACTTTCCACTACGAGGGACGTGCTCGCAGACGTCGGAACTGCTCATGTCAGCTGGGGACAGTGGGAGCCATGCCTTTACCTTTGGTCTGTCCCCGAGGAACCCGCTGCAGTTGGAGGCCCCACACCGACAGACTGTTTTCTCGTTACCCAAACAATCGAGGTTGTAGTTGAAGGTCAGCTCTGTCCCTGGGTGACAAGAGACACAGCACTGGAAATACTGGCCTCTCTGTCAAGGCGAGAGCCTCCGCCAGGTCCACGGAACACACTCCCGCCCCCTCACGGCTCTCCACGTGCGCTCCGAGGAGAACCACCTGTAGCGCCCCCGCCCCGCGCCCGCCCCCCGGGCTGCTCCAGCCTGACCGCTGCCGCCTGCCGCACAGCCCAGGCCCCGTGCTGTGACCCTGGAGGTGTCATACCTGCTGGAATGTCACACACTGCAAACAGGCCCACACGAGTGTCACCGTTCACTGTCCACTTGAGGGTCTCACAGTTGGGCTGGCAGCTGTGGTTCATAAATCGGGAATAGTTTCCTTTGGGGCCAGCATCAATTATACGGTCCTGTAAGGTACAACTCAAGTTTCAAGCAGCATTGGAATACGCGGGCAGCGCTTAGCCATCACGTCCTTGTTTAAAGGGAATTTTCACCGTCTTAACACCTGCTGGACAACGATGTTGTGCTGGAAACCGTGGTCTCCCGTGTCCACTCGGACAGGACACCCCCAAGCCAGTCCTGTTTCTCTCACTCACGGGGGGGGGGCGGGTCACAACCACATGGAGAGGACCAAGCCCCAGTGAGTGTTGGTGAGGATGGGGCAGCCAGCTGGTGCTCCCCAACACCACCCATCGGATGACAAACAAGAAGCCAGGAGACACGGGAAGGTCAACACTAATGGCCGGTGGAAACTCAACATTCACAGACAAGAACAAGAGGAGCCCAGTTCCAAAATGGACAAAGGATATGAACAAGCAATGCCCAAAGATGAGATCCAGACAGACATGCATTTGGGAAGGTGTCCGCATCCCTAAGCAGCTGACGAAGTACAAACTCCAACAACAATGCAATCTGACCTCACGCTGCAACGGGAGCGTTGGCCAAGACACCAGGGCCAGCCACAGGCCGGCAGGGACAGTTTTGAGAGAGCAAGCCGCCGCCGCCGAAGACACACAGGCCCACGGCGGCCCTGCCCTGGTGCACGTGCATATGAGGATGTGTTCATCGCCAGCAATGGGGAGACTGGAGCCTAAAGGTCACTGGCTGGACTGCACAAGGGGTCCCCATGCCACAGGGAGCAGTCGAGGTAAGAAATGTCCCAGCAGGCAGGAGGACACTTAAAATCAGGCAAAGTACGGAAGTCATGAGTTTGTGCAAAGTTGTGTCTGAACGGGGCACACAAACGTGTAAACACACGTGTCTGTGGGAGGTCTCCCCTGGGGCCCTAGGAGCCCTGTGCTGGGCCCCCCTGCCTGGCGATGCCGCCCCACAGGGTCCCCCGTGTCCAGGACAGGCTGGCTCCGACACTTCCCACCTCAGCCACACCCACGCCACGTGTTCCTTATGCAGAGAAATGGCACCACAACGGGCTTGCCCCGCAGCACGCTCTCCCACGGCCTAAGGGCCCCGCTAACCGCCCACCCCAGCGCCGGGGTGCCATCCCCCCCCAGGGACGACGCTGCCGTCTGCACTCTCACGCACCCGCGCTGGCGTTCCCACAAACCCTTTCCAGAACACAGCCTGCGATGCCTGCCAGTAGCGGGACAGCCCTGGTCAGCCCTGGTCCCCAACGCCGCCCACAGAGCGACGGGCCCCCACGGGCTCCCGTGGGCACTTCCCGGGCGCGGGCTGAGGGCCACATGCCCGGGGCCGGCTCACCACGTCTTCACTCTGTTCTCTGTGCCTACGCACTGTGGATACTCGAGCCCTGGTAGCCACGTGTCAAATCTTCCTCCCAGGACAACACTCGATTTTCACCTTCACAGAGCCTTCTCTGAGAACTTCCCCAGTTTTCCTCAGCTCTTTTATTTATCTTTTGCTTTATGCACTCAGGGTTTCTGACCAGCCTGGCCCAGCCCTCCCTCCCCCTACGCTACAAAAGATACCCCCGACATTCCCTAGCTCCTGACTGCGTCTGGAATATCGCCTTCCGTGAGTGGAGGCGGGGGATGTCCTCCGCCGGCTGCCCTGCCGCCTGCCCCTGGGACGGGGAGCGCCACGCGGATACGCCCCGCTTCACCCTTGCAAATGTAGCCCTCTGCGTGGATCCGGGATGGCCGGCCAACGCTGATTTTGAAACTGTGACGATGTGGGTGTATTGGTGGGTGTGGGGTGTGTGGGGGGTCAGACACCAGTGCGCTCGGCCTCCCTGCGCCGTCCCCAGGAGCAGCGGAAGCAGCAAGCATCTTTGTCTCCCTCCTGAGCCTCGCTCAGGCCTTCATCAAACAGGAGAAAAAGGCCTTCTTTTCTGTCTCCTGAGTTGTCGTCAGGAGCGGGTCTACACTTTCTCGGTTCCTTGGCACTTGCCTCTTACCCTGTAGCCACAGGACCGATGGACCACTCAGCTCACCACAGAATCTTTGGCTCCCTCTGTTCTGCAGACCGTGTTGCGGCCTCAAGCCAGCCTCGTGCTCTTCCCGAGGAGCAGTTCGGTGTTTACGTCTGGCTGGCAAAGGAGTCTTTGTCACAACCAGTAATTTTAATACGATTTTTACTCTGTTGGCCATTCTGGATGGATTTCCCTGAAATACAGGGTCCTTTTCTTTCATTTCCTTTGAGTTTTCCAGAATGTCAGCGGAGGTGCAGGCTCGTCTCCGGGCTGGGGCCACGCAGGGACGCTCCGGGGCCTGCTCCCTGTGCTGTGCGTGTCTCCTGGTCTTTCTCTGTCCTTCCTCCTCAGTCATGTCCGCCCCACGTCTGCTGCTCCCCACATGCCCCTTGCGGCTGAAGCTTTGCCCGGCAGACACCCGTGTCTCCTCCTGTCTGATCCTGAGCCCGTCGAGTTCCCGACTCAGCTCTGCTGGCTGTCTGGCCACCTCCAGCTCCTCACACTTCAGAATCCACGCTCAATGCCGGGTAGAGCTTTCATCCGCCGCTCCCTTCGTCCCCCGTCTCTGAGCGCGCTGGGGGCCCGCGGCGGCTCGCAGCTGGAATAGCAGTCCTGCTGTCTCAGGTACCTTCTCTGCTGCCAGCCTGATGGGGGTCCCCACCGCCGCCCCCACCACGGGTCCCTTCTCTGTCTCATTCTCGGAAGATGGTCCTTCCCAAGGCCTGTCACCCGCGCCTCCCAGGAGCCCCCCGTGCCTCCAGTCTCCGCTGTCCTCCTTGGAAACTCAGTGGGAACTCAGCGCTCTCAGGTTGATGGGTCTGTCTGTCCTCAGTTCCGCTCTAGATGTGCTTTGTATGTACTTCTTGTTGTAGTTGCTTTGGAAGTGAGCTGCTGCCCTCTCCTACCAGAATCCTATGTGTAGATTCTTTATTTTAATTTTTAGAGATTAATGCTGCTGACTGTGGATCTCCTTCTTTTTTTTTTTTTTTTCATCGAACTGCTTCTAAGATCTCCCCAAGCTATCAGATACACATGGAGCCCGCCCCCACTGCTGCCTCCCTGGCACCCCCTCCTGCACCCCCACAACCGTACCCAGTCAGGAGACCCCGTCCCCTCCCTGCCACCGCCGTGGCCTGCTGCAGCCGCTCCACGACACTCTCTCCAAAGTCATCCTGATCTGACGTTAGCGTACCAAGAGCGGCCTTCTCTGGACTAGCGTTTGCCAAGTTTTTCTTTCCTAGTACTCTTAAAACCTTTCTGATTCTTTTACTTTAAATGTTTTATTTTAGAAAGAGCGCGTGCACAAGTGGGAGGGGCGGAGGGAGAGAATCTCAAGCAGGCTCCACACCCAGTGCGGAGCCCAGCACCGGGCGCTCCATCTCACGACCCTGAGATCGTGACCCGGGCCAAAATCAAGAGTCAGACGCTTAACCAATGAGCCTACCCACACACCCCTGGGACAGCTGCTCCCTGGAACATGCACCTCTTCTCTCTGGGGCTTTCAATCTTTGCCGTCTTTGCTACCCTACAGGTCTGGGTTGTTGTTGTTGTTTTTTTAATAACCTATCTAGGTATAGACTTGTTTTTATTCATTCTGTTCAAACCTTGGTCAGTTTCATCAGCTTCCAGAAAATCCTTTTTTCATATGGCCTTTCCCCCCATCCCCCAGTCTCTGCTTCTGGAGCATCCACCGAACATTCCTACGTTCCACATCCCTGGGCCGCTCTGACGAAGTTTTCACCTTTCACCCTCCGGCACTGCGGTCCACAGCCCCAGAGCTTCCTCTCCAGCCGCCTTCCCCGCGGCTGCCTAGCACTCCACAGCTGCCTTCTGGGCTCATTCCCATGGCTGCGCGTCTGAGCCGTTCACATCTGCGTCCTGCTCTTCTCTCGTGATGCCCACGTCTCCTTCAGTGGCTCCCACCACTTCAATAAGAGGTCATGTTACTTCCGGTTCTCACCAAAAGCTAAGACTTTTTGAAGGTCTGCTTAGGGAGCTCTTGCTCCATTGTGCTCTGTAAACGCTTCGGCAGGGCTTGTCCATGTTTTTTTTTTTTTTTTTTTTTTTTAAAGATTTTATTTATTTTTTGACAGAGAGAGAGACAGCGAGAGAGGGAACACAAGCAGGGGGAGTGGGAGA